CCCAAGAATATGGTTTTATATGGTACAGTACCTCCATTTTAGGATCCTGAAATTCTATTCAACATCTGTTTGATGTGGATTATATGTAGACGTAGATAGAACCCCCAAGAAGAGGGAGAAGAATTGGACACCTGGAAGATATGCGGAAAACATCCTAGTCTCCTGGTTTTCCTCTATATTTTGGGATCAGAACACACGAACACGCCGTTTCTCCCTCCCTTGAGTTGGGCGCAGGAGGAGTTTGAAACCTTGGCGCAGTGCGTGAAACCTGAGCTGACGGGTGGCAAACGACAGGAGATGGGCTCTGACAGCTTTGGATGGATGTGGCAAACCAGCGTGGTGGTTTCAATGGCGAAAATGATGGCGACTTTCCATTTCTGGGGTGATGGATCAAGGACTTAAAGTGACTGAGCCAGCCACATCAGAAGGTTGACTAGAAAAAACATATGACTGATTTCGCAGAGTGCCCTGGCGCAATGCAGCATTAATTAATGACTTAAACAGATCATGGTTCCATTCCAATTCCTATCGGCTTAGGGCATCCCAGGGCATCCCAGGGCATCCCAGGGCATCCCAGGGCATCCGGGTACCAGGACTGGAATGACACCTCCACATCCGACCGACCTTCTCAGGACCTTGAACGCACTCGAGAAGCGGTGGTTGAAACTCTGGAGGTCGGTGCTGAAGGGAAACGCCAAGGAAACTTAAACAAAAAGGAAAACACGCAACCTTTTTGTTAAAAAAAACATGGGATAACCATGGGATAATCATAGTAACTGTTGTTGAAACTTGAATCAATGAAAAACAACCAGTCTTTTTTCTGCCAGTTGTGTTTGTTTTTCCTTCTTTACGTACCTTCATGGTCAATTTCCGGGGGATGAAACATGATGAAACCAGCGATCTCTGTAGGCATTGATAGCTGCAGTGCGTCAGGGGACTCAGGGATTCCAGAGGCTTCCATCTGGAGGTTTCCATAGTCATGGAGGTACCTCAGCTGGATGGTTTATTTCATGGAAAAATATGGAAAATACCAATCTAAAATGGATGATGACTGGGGGTAGCCCTATTTTAGGAAACCACCATCTGGGAAGACATTGTTTTTCCATGCTTGGCAAACATCGCCCATCGTTCTTGATTTTGGGTCATCTCTAATAGTATTAGAACATAGTAGAACCAGCTATGGCACATTAATAAACATAGAACACTTTAGAACCATTCGTCTTGAGTGTTCCAGCCACTACTAATTTTTATGCAGACCATTCAATGTGATCCTGGCTGTCGCCATCGATATTTCATCGATCCGCTGAGGAAAGGGAATGGACAAGGTCAACTTGCAGGAAACTCAGCCTGGAATATCCTGGAATGATGGTGAATGGAAAGCATAACTATCCCAAAATAGTCCAACATTTCAGGGTGCAATATATTAATCTACCATAATTTACCCAGTGATGCCAGCAGTTTTGCATATCCCTGGTGTTTCTGTGATGTTTTGGACACTTAGGCGCCGCTCCACCAGCTCCTTTGCTCAGAGCCGGACACGGTCCCTGGCGCAGGCGGAACGGGACAGGGCAAAGGGATATCAACCATCATCAACCCTTATGAAGGGGCTGATTAAATATCTGTAACCCAAGATTCGCCATGAATCAGAGTCTTGCTGCTAAACTCGTGCTAGATCACCATTTTTTTCTTGGCGCCATCGATTATCCCATCATGCTTCTTGCCAAAACCGTCCAATACCACTGTTGCCAATTCTCAAGCTTTCAACAACATGTTTGAGCCGTCAACATGGGAATGATGATCAGCCACAATTTTTTGGGGTGTTTTCCCCTAAATCCTTGAAAGCCACATGGCCAGGGCCTCATGTGTTTGGGGAGGTCATTACCTGTCCTGCCAGTGAGTAGTGAAGGTCATTGTTAGGCCAATGGGAAGAATATTGGTTGACATTCCCATGGAACCAGATGGAACCCGGGTCAGTTGGTATCACACCATGAACAGATCCAGCTAAACCAAGGTGAACATTGGGCGCGTGTTATCACACCTGGCGCGTGTTATCACACCTACCTATCGTCCTATAGCACTGTACGGGTGGCATTGCGCCAGCCACAGCAATTCCATCAACTATCATCAACTATCATCAATTGAGAATCTTCCGTCCTGTTTTCTACATTCAGCAGCCCAAGGTCCGCAATGAAACTTGGCCACATGCACAGATGCAATCAGATTTGTCATAAATGTGTTGCATCCCAAAAAACATCCAAAAACCATTGGTTCATATTGGTTCCCCTTATCAGGAGTTGCAATTGCTGGATAATTTTGTATATTTAAATTAACGATCAATCAAAGTCAATTAATTGGACCTAGGAGCTGCCAGTCGATTGGTTTAGTATGTTTTAGTATGGTTTAGTCCGGAAACGCGTTGAAACTCTATGTTTGGGGAGACTCAGGGTGCCCCGTGCGCACTGAGTTTCGGCGCAGGAAAAGATTGAAACCAAGGCTGAGAGCCCCAGCGGTGCACCCAATGGTCGTTACAATCATGGGGTTTAACCACCAACCATGGGAAATATGATACATGATGATAAATGAATTATAATGGGTTAAACCAACCATGGGAAATATGATACATGATGATAAATGAATTATAGTGAATTCATGTCCAACCATCCATTTTTTGGGGGTCACGTTCTTTTCTTGGAGCGAGACCAGCACATGGCTTGATGATGCTTGATGTGGGATCCAACACCTACCAAATTGTGGCAGGATGAGCATCTATAGATCGCAGGTGTTTTGGGGTTCACCGGGCAAAATGTCCATGGCTTTTGACCCCTAGCCATATAAGTTGAGTGAACTTGGCCAAGTGGCCTATTTGGGACTGGCCAGGCCTTGATTTTGTCGGCTTTTCTGCGAGGTTTGATACGGATGCCCTCTGGGAATCAAAGATGGCTTGCTGGAAAATTCATGAAAATTCCCTATCAATGGGGAGGCATATATATATATACCTAGAGCACCCTCAGGCCAGAATTTGAGCCTGAACGTGTTCGGACCTTTTTCTCTGCCTGACCTTTGAAATCTCGCCTGCCTCTAAATTCTCGCCTGGAAATGCTTTCTGCAATTATGCTCAAGATGGCATTTCCAGCCTGAATGGACAATCTCGCCTGAATTGATGTTCAGGCTAAAAGACAGCCCGAGTCCCAAAATGGCTACTATTTGGTTTCAGCCCCAAATTTCCGCCTGTTGGAGGCTGCAGGTATATATAAATAAAATATGTGTGTGTATAATATGAATATGGGAAAATGACTTAACTATAAATCGTGGATTTTCATTTACAATGTTTGGTTACCAGAGGGTAGATACGCTACATAAATTTATGAATCTATAGAATGCATCCGAATGCTTCGTGAATACAGTTTGGACCCCAGGTTCGGAAGGTGCAAACTTGCGGATCCCATAGTTGCATCCCCAAGTTTTGCGGCTGGGCGCAGGAGCGCTTGCGCATGGAGCAGATCTTGCACGAGGCGTGTGGCAAAGCCAATAATAAACTTCCATGAATTTCCCCTTTATGATGGCTCCTTTCCACCCATTGAAATGGTGATATTGGGGATGGTTCACTCCAACAGGCCCCAGTTTCTGGTCGATCATCACTTCAAGTCTCAGAGATTTGCAAATCTTTGGTGGCTTAAACAGATGTCCACTTGCGAGGTCCTGGTTCGATTTTTTAAGTTATTGATTTTGATGGTCAGATTGGGAAAGATATTGTATTCCTGTTGTTGTTAGTTGAATATCTAAAAAATGTACACACACATATATATATAACATTTATATATATATATCTCTCTCTCTCTCTATCTCTCTCTCCTCTCTCTCTCTCCCTCTCTTTTTCTCTCTCTCTCTCTCTCTCTCTCGCTCGCTCTCTCTCGCTCTCTCTGTGTTAATATGAGGAGAAATTCCATGTGATTCCTCCTTTTTGAAGTTGAAAAAGGCTTTAAGACGACTGACCCATGACCCACGTTCCAGGCCCCAGGCATCGGAACCACCGTCAGGACGAGATGTCCCTTAGCAGCTGCATCCGCTTGGCCGACTGCATGTTGCAGGTCCAACTGTTCCAGGAGGATTTGGATAAAATCACCATGGGGTGCAAATCAATCCATACGTATCTATGTATCTATGTACCTATATGCATCTATATGTATCTATCTACCTGATTTTGCATCCATCCTCGCTTTAATATGAGATCCGGATCATTGATGTTTTTAGTAGGACCATGACAGCGCAACGCGAAATGATGAGACGCCGAGCGATGCAACCCTTAAAGGAGTGTGAGAGATATGGAGCTTTGTGGTTTCTGGGTGACCATGTTTCCATCAGCTTTTGGTCTTGGGCTTGGTGGATGTCTCCAGTTTTGGTTCACCAGATCCCATGAACATCTATATTTAATCTCTATGCCATAGTTATATGGAATATGTCCATATTCATTCCATCCTCGTTTCCATCCGTGGGAGCCTGAAGAGGCCAATTTGGTGACCAGTATCACCTGCACGGCTGAGGAGCAGCCGATTCCCTCCCAATTCAGCTGGGAAGTGAGATTGGTAGAGACTTACCCTGGGGCAAACTAACATATATGTGGAAAATCACCATTTCAATACATGATTCATACATAAATGGACCATTTTCCACATCTATGTTTGTTTACGCTAGGGTAAATGGATTTGAACATGAACAATTGTGGTTTTAACCTGCGAAAATGGGGAATAGGATTGGATTTTTGTTCCGTCATTGTTGTGGGTGACCTGGTTGGTGGATCTTGTTTTGTGTTGAGGGGGTTATCCCCAACTCCCAGATGAAACACCAGTTTCCGTGAAATCCCTCCATATTGGAGGTGAATTACATGGTTTCACACACATGGATAGGGCGGATACGGATCCAAATGGTGAATCTTAACACATGACCAACACCTGCCCTTGGAATCCATGGAAACTTCCCACGGAGCATTTGCGGCTCAGTTCCAGGGAGGCTTCAGCTGCCGAGCCGAGATTGAAAGAGGAGAGGAGCCATGGTGCCTTGGCCGTGTCTCCTTCAGTTTTTGCTGCAGATGGTTGTTTTTGGGATTGAATTGTCAACGTCTTTTCCATCATTGGAGGAACCTATTGATAATATGTGTAGTATGGAAGCGGGGTCATTTTGTGCAAACCCAATGCAGCATTTTTTAAGCAATCACCAAGAACTAGTGAAATGTTAAGGATCAAATGAATTGGGGACCATATTGTCTAATCATATTCATGTACACATGCATGCATCATACACGCAATGTCACAGACTGTAAACATGAATTCTATAATTCTGGTACATGTGTGCACCTGTGGAATCTAATATGATCAGGGGAATAGCATCCCCTCAGCTCATTTTAATCCAGCATGTTGTGATGCAACAATGTTATATACTAGTGCATTTGGGGTATTGGGGTATAACCATTGAATTGAACCCTTCAATCTCCATGTTGGTGGGTTAAATCATCTCAAATCTCTTCAAATCCCAATTTTGCACATTAAATATCAATCCTTGTTGGGTTATGTTGGGTTAGATGTTAGATCCTAATTCTTTTTGCTTCAAACGAATGTGAATTTGCACCTTTGCTACTTTTACCCTTAATTGGGGCCCCCATTTGTATCAATGTGTTTCCTGAAATCCCAATTTTTTTCTGGTGAAGTTGCCATTTTCATCCCTTGGAACCAGCCGTGCCATGCCACGTCCTCAGTTGCCCGGAGCCTGCGACTTGACCTTGGGGTCCTTGCAGTCGGAGCGTTGGCCCAGCGAATTCCAACAGGGCCATCGGGTCCTCGACGCTGCATCGGTGCCTTGTAAAGTCGTTGGGGGTTTGGGGAATGTCAAACCCCTCCAGTTTTTGATATATCTAAGCTGTATAAATAAATAATATATATATATATTGCTATATCTAAATATGCCCAATAGTGCAAAATGCATTATTGACCTACAATATATCTCGAAGTATTTTGATATCATATGCAACCTGCGTTTTGAACCATATGTTTAAGCACTAAATGTACTATTCCCATTGGGTGCTCAATTTTGAAGGTTCCCAGCTGGAATGAAACCACCCAGCGGTGGAGATCATTGTGGTAAAACCCAAGGCTGAAGCTTGGATTTCACTGGGAATTTATGATAATTTAGTTGGATTATAATAGGATTTCATGGGAACATATACGAAAATCCACTGGAAATGAAGATATTCTTGAAATTTATGGAGATTTATTGGAATCACTGGATTTGTTCGATGATTTGTTTTATTTTTCCAATGGGAAATCCCTCAAGCTAAGCCAAGTTCTCCGTGAAAAGACATGACTTCAGCAAGTGGTATTGATGAGAAGGTTGACCGTACAGGATGGCACATTGGCCATGAGGAATGGAAGTGCCAAGATTTATCATCTGGTAATTTAACATAGCTATGGAAAATCACAATTTTTAATGGGTAAATCCACTATAAATGGCCATTTTCAATAGCTTTTTATATGTTTACCAGAGGGTATCATCTTTATGAAGTCGGCAGAGTCAATGGTAGATATTTGGAGGATTTTGGAGGATTTTCATCATGGGACTGGTCGGATATGCCCAGAGAGACCATCGATTTTGGAGCCACGTCTTTGTACGTGCCGGGTCGGTTGCTGTATAACAGCATTTGCCTTTCAATTTTGCAGATGGCATTTGGAAGCATATCTGGTTGGTGGTTTGGAACATTTTTTATTTTCCATAATATATGGGATAATCCTTCCCACTGACTAATATTTTTCAAGATGGTTGAAACCACCAACCAGATATGGAATATGGAAGCATAAAAACCAGCAGTAGATGCAAACTTTTGTGGACATCATGCCACTTTGCCCTTGGGATATCTAGGGATCCTTGGGCCGGCGCTGTCCTGAACCAACTTTTGGCATTCGGGCAGCCGGGCAAATCTCAGATAGTCTCATGAATATATTGAATATACACATACAAACACATATATACACATATATATATATATACATGCATATGCATATGCACCATTGGCCCAAACTCGTCAATGCCACCATAGTGTCGAGTTAAAGGCTCACATTTTGAGCCTTTCCAGATTTGAGGTGTGGTTACGTGAGGGATCTCGCGATGGCAAACGCACGCTGGACCGAAAGAACATGCAACTTTGCTGCATGGCCAGGCTGAGGCTATCAATAGCGGCTTGTTTGGTTCGTATGCAACACCTTGCGATCGCCCCATATAGGATAGTTTCAAAATTGATCAGCAAGACTTCTTGAATGATCCCTTCTTTGAATCCTTCACATACACGGTATACTGGTATATCATGAGTTTTGCTCTTCATTTATGAAGTCAAGTCGTCCACCATTCTTCTCTCATCATGTCCATGCCTGTTTGGTACTCGCGCTCTAAGTCACATTTCCAGAAAACTTATTGCTTGCACGCGACAACTATCAGAAGGCTCAATCAGCTTGGCCCGTTCATGGTGTACCAGCCACTCGTGGTTGAGTAGATAAGCAAACGTCCCGTCAGCAGATGATTTTGTTTCTACACATGGGGGAACATCGTCTAACCAGCCAGACCCTCAATGTCCTCATACCCATAAGCATGGATATATTACCCATTGGCCAAGGCAGCTCAGACGACAACAATTCTGCACCATTTTCATGGGTCAATTTTAAGGGTCTTTCGGCTGAAGACCAAGTTTTCTGCAAGGTACCCATCCAGCAGCTTGGGTTTACTGCAGTTCTGCAGCACTTCCGCTCAAGGAATAGCACCTATGGAGGCTCCTTGTCGGCTCGTTCACTGGACAAGATTTCAGATGCTCGGCGACAAAAACGACCCCTGGTGAGGGTCCTTGCGGGATGGTCGTCAGATTCCCGTGGGATCGATGACCATGAACCCATTGAAAAAACCATGATCCCACGTCTTGACCATGGCACAATATGGTTTTATGACCTTTGATGTGTGTTGTATATATATATATTATTTATGTTTCAAGCCCAGTTCTTCCAAGGATTTCAGTTCAATCGCCTTGCTAGTCCATGCCGTGTCTTCCATGAGAGCGACATGTTCGTTTTGTCCTTATGCTTGCTGCTCAAAACTCACCTTAACTGTCACCAGTTGAAAGTTGAAACGTATTTTATATGTAGTTATTAGTTATTAGTTTTAAGTATATATTGATATCTTGCATCTTATTGCCATGTTACTATCCCCCTTTGTTCCTGAATCATGAAAGGTGTCACCGTAGTTTTCCTGAAAAAGAGTTCACTATGTTTACTAATTGTCATACACTCTAGTTGTTTCACCAATCATATATCATGATGTTTTTTACCATGTTTTACCTCAAACATCCACCCAGGTTGGTTTTCATCCACATGTTTCACCATGTTTCATCATGTGTTCCAAGAGAAAACTGCCATGTTTCAACGTTTAATTCACCATTGTTCATTGTTCATCCATTTTCACCATGTTTTCACCATTTGTTCACTATGTGTTCACCATTTTTCCCCAAGGATTTCCTCCCTGGACCTCCCTCCCACCCACATCAGCACCGCCCTCGAGGACCCGGCCCGGAAGATCGTGGTGGCCAGCGGCGCGCTGACCTCGCGCGAGATGCGGCGCATCGCCGAGGTGTGTGGGGAAGGATTGGTCTTTTTACTGGTGCTAACGTAGGGAATGGATGGGTTGCTGGGGGTTGCTGGGATCATTCCCTACTAAGCACAAGTAAGTCTTGTTATAATGGATTTTAGGGGGATATAACATGATATAACCATCATCAACCTTTAGCATAGACGGCTAGACTCCTGGAGAGCGATGGAGAGATCATAAACCTTCAACAATAAGGATATGATGGAATTTAGAGAGTTTAATGGGATTTGTTCATTTTTTTAATGGGATTTTTAATTATCAGCAATGGCGATGTAATGGGATTCGACAATCGCCTTCCTGGAACCCATTGAAATCCCATCATTTTTTCCAGACCACAACAAACAATCCTGTGGTAAATTACCATAGTTATGGTATAGATGGACCATTTATAGATGATAAGCACACGATGATTTACCTATTAAAAATATGGATTTTTTCCATATATGGCTATGTTAGCTGACCAGAGGGTAGGGGATTTACAATTTAGCCAGTCATATACCCAGTCCGAATCGGAAATACAATCACAATGAGGATACTTGGATGTGCGGGACCCAGTTAGGTTTCCGTTGTGGTGTAACATGTTATAACCATAGGTGGCTTCGATTTCTGGGATTATGCCCAGTAGTATGTCGTACGGGGTATTAGTTGTTTCGTACTTACTAACTGGGATGCATCTTGGAACCCTGCGAGTCCAATAAGCTGAGAAGGTATGTTACAGGCCCAAGCTATTTTCAAAAGGTACTGCAATTGAATCCACAAGGACTAAGAAATGGGTAATTCGGGGGTACCCTATTTTCAATGAAGTAATCTCTTGAGATCGATGGGCGCTCAGAGAGTGGTTTCCTAATCGAAGAAATGGGTGTGTCCAAAACTTAGGCCCTGAGTCCACCAGTTAATCGATGTTAATCATCAGATTCCTAAAATCAGTCGCACCCAAATCAATGCACTGAGTCCATGGCTAGGTCATGGCTAGTTAGAATCCCTTATGATTGGGATGAGGTAAAATTATATCAACTATCTCACTGAAGGTAGCATTGGTATGGGCCAAGGTGCAATTTTGGTAGGTGCTTCAAGTTCCGGCCATCCATTCTTGGGTGTCCTCAATCCCAGGAAACGAGGTCCCGGGACGTTGCTTCATGTTTGATCTCTGTTGCTTCAGAACAACCAAAGAATTGGATGGGGACTCTAAAAACATGTAAAAACCATCAAACATCATCAAACATCAAACATCCATGGGTTTGATATGATTCAAGTTTGATGCCATTTTTTCATATTTGTGTCCCTCAACTCCATCCAAAAGTTCACCAGCTCGCCCTGTCAGGAAGAGGCTGTGCCGGGGACTGAGAATCTCACGGCACCATTGCCGCTCGGATCAACGGAAAATCGCCATGGGTTCGATGGGTTCAACTAATCCGGGATGTGACATTGCCAATATGGTACAGTTATGGCCATTTATCAGTTATAAGTACTTATAACATCTTATTAACCCCATTTATAGAATGTATAATCCCATTTATAACCAGTTATAACTGGTAAATGGCCAATATGGTACTGACAGAGGGTGTGTATTTAGCATAGCTTTGGAGGTGCCAAGTGTTGTTTGAATAGCATAGCGTATGTCAAGTGGGAACGCCCTGGGAGAGCAGTTATGAGAGTTGTTTGACCAGTTGGATTTTGTGAGGAGTGAAAGCTTGATGCTGGGCATAGTCCATCAGTTTCCCTGACTGACCGCACATTGCAAAAAGGCTTACGTTGGACCATGTTCTTAAGATGCATGAACCGGAAGTAATCTCCAAAATATGCGTATACTGTACAGGATTTACAGCACATTTTCTTTGCATTCATGTTTATGCCAATTTTTAATACATAATTCATAATTCATAAGTGGTTATTGTATGAACGTGTTCACGGCAGATACTATACCCTCCGGCAACTGATTTTCACAGCTAAAAACCTCCATTTAGTTCGGGGATTTCCGAGATAATCATACATGATTACGATGATTACCAATGGATAGTTCCATCAATCACCATTATAATGCACCATTATATAATCACAATTATTCATCATTATTCACATATATTCACCATTCCTAACCACTATCAACCATTATTAACTACTGGTAACAACTATTAACCACTATTAACCACTATTAAAGCCTTGATTTTCCATGATTTTCCATGATGTTCCCATGTTGCTTAAGTCCCAACATTTCCCAAGGACAGTGGACGAGCGGAAGCTGGTGGATTTGCTTCAGTCCATGGCCGCGAAGGTCGGGGGATCCTACCATTGATTTTTTTCGCATCGAAATTTACAGGAAACCATGGCATTCATTGGATTTCATTAGGACCTTTATAGGCCTTCCGGGTGGATTTTTCCTTAGACTGGTCCGTTTTTTTCCATTCAACCATTCAGAGACAGTGATATCATTGAAAGATCTAGTAGTTACACGCCTCGACCGTAGTTCCACGACTTTGTTTTGGTGTGCCCTGGTTGTGGGAATAGGGTTCTTGCCCTTCAGCTACCAAAAATATAGGCGCCTTGACCATGTGGCTACGAGTCAAACATAGTCAAACCCCTGGCGCTACTAGGTACTGTACCCCAAAAAGGCTGGTAAATGGATGTTTATTCATCGCTATGCATGGTAATGATAGGTTTTGAGCCATCCCAAAATATAAGTCAAGTTGAGCCAACCCCCCTGGCACCCTTGAGTGATCCATTATTCATGGCAGGCTGCACAACGCTTCCCATCCATGAGTGTCTCGGCCAGCTCCAAGACATGTTGGTGATGACATCACCAACAGCTCTGTGATATGACACCTAGATATTCCATGTAATTCCGAAGTAGATAGAACATGGAATTGTCAAACATGATGTAACTTATTATTGTTGAAAAATATGACACACATACATACAAAAATATGTATATATACATATGATTCGACAATGTATGATAATGTATGGTAAATATTATTGGTTAGTGACGTGGTCCATCATTTGGTGCCGCTTGCTGCGCGCGGCACCGCTGCTTGGGTGGCTTGTGTTTTCTGGACGGAGGTTGCGTTTTCCTGTTTACGGCCTAGATGATTACCATATGATCTTCAAATTTAATCCTGTCACAATGGAGTCTTCACATCAATTGCGTTAAAATACAGTTTCTCATGCAGTTTCTCTTGCAGTTTCTCTTGTATCACAATAATTACAGAAAAATCATGTTTGTTACCCTTTGGTAAATTAACATAGACCCTGAAAATAGCCTAGTTTTAATGGTTTCACTAATCTTCCAACCCCGACAACTGCCAGGGTCTATGTTAATTTACCAGAGGGTATCCTTGTTTAATAGATCTTAAGTATTTGTCTATATTGACTTGCCATCCGTTCTTCAAATCTTCCTGGCGTCCCCGCATCATGGCATCCCCGCTTGGCGGCTCCGAGGCGATTGCTTCCGCGGCTTGGATCCGGACAGGGTGCCTCGGCGATGGTAACAAGATGATGGTTGCCTTATTAACCATCATCAACCACCATTAACCATCATTAATCACCATGAACCATCATTGTAATCATCATAAATCACCATGAATCATCATTAATTATCATTAATCACCATTAACCATTGATTTCCCATCATTAATGCTGGTTGGTGGTGACTGGAACCATGGAACTTTTTATGACTTTCCCATCACATTGGGAATATCATCATCCCAACTGACGAACTCCATCATTTTTCAGAGGGGTTGTTTTACCACCAACCAGATAAAGTCATTTGTTCAGTTGTGAATTTTGATCCATTGATTCATTGATTCATTGATGCATGTATGGGGTGTTGATGATGATGATGATGTTGTTGTTGATGATGATGATGATGGACATATCGTTATATATGTAATATGTACATGTTATGGTTTTGATTGTGGTGATGTTCAGAAAGTTACGAGTATCAAGTCACTCCTTGTGACATGTCTCAACTCGCTGGAGAGCTATAACGGCTTCAGGGAGGGCCCCTGTGCGTTCAGAGAATCTGCAACATATTTGAACAGTCCCCTCCCCCTATATATTGAACACCTTAAGAAACCATGGTTTAGTAGAGGGTTATAGGATGTTATAGGGGTGTGTGATATTAGGCTATGGGATTCATGGACTTTTTGGTAGATTTAGGATGATTTAGGAGAAGTTTTTCATGGAGCATCTGCCGACATGCTTTCTGCCTTAAGCGTCCCACACCTTGGAACGCTGCGAGCATAAGCGAGGATGGAACAAATGGACCCAACATAGGAATGCTGCAAGATCAGTGTGACTTGAACATCTTGAACACGCAGTTGTCTACAGATGGTGGCTGCCGGCTCACTGCCTTCCTATTTTTTTTCCTGGCCATGTATGGCCATGTCCCATGACTCAGGATGGGAAAATTGACCTGTCGGAGTTGCGCTACTTTTTTCGCACCTGTGGGCAGACAGATGTAGTTGCCGAACTTTGGTTGCACAAGTCCTCCAAGTCGTCCCATGATGGCATAGGTGACTCATGGTGATTCTTTCCGAGACCAGGCGGAAAGAACATGAAAAATCATGAGCCGTCTCAGAATAAAATGATCCTTCTGAACAACTTGGAAAATTCGTGAAACTTCTGAACCACCCAAATGTCTTTCCAACGTGTTTCCATCCCGTCCCCTGTTTTTTGTTGGACCCAGTGCTCCTCCCGGCCGTGACCTTCCAAGGATGGTTTTTGGAAGTTGCTGGACCGCAACCGCAGCGAATTTCTGGACTATGATCTTCTGGCAGGGACCGTGGGTGAAGGATTTGTGAGGGAAACGATGACATTTCAGGGATATGTGATTGGAAGTCATATAGTTTTCATGTTCATTTTTATAAAAGGAAAGAGTGCCCGTAAAATTTCCTGGGAGTGAATGTCTGGAGCAGATTGGATTGTGACTTTCTTATTATTGAATCGCAGCCAAGTTGTGGGAAACGAAGTTGGAGCAGCCTGGTTGGGCCTTGTTTCACCAGTGTATCTTCTCAAAGAGACTGTGGCTGCAGGCTGCACTTCCCAAGTGGGGGCTGTTCAAAGGTTGACAAACGCGTCTGTAAAATCCACCGTTATAGATGATTTTCCCATTAAAACCCTGCATTTTTACGGGGTTATCCAGCAAACCACAGTTTGATTGCTGGAGGGTACAATCATTTTTTTTGTTGCCTCTTTCTCGAAAAAATCATGCGGGCATCCCAGCCCCAAAAGCGCCCCCAAAAATGGGTTGTCTTCAACGCTTTGGACCCCCAAGGTCTTCTTGTTGATTTTCATTTACTTGCTTTGCCCCAATTCACATTACAACTTGGGTGCCAATTTCTGCTGATCCAATCAGATTATTGAAATCCCCATTTGGGCGGGTCATACTAGAATTTTCGCTGGTTACCAGCCAGTACACTGCTGTTATATGCCCATTGGAACGCTTCATCATATACCTAAAAGATCCTTTCGAAAAAATGGGCAGCCTTCATAAATCCGGATGAAATTGATGGTAAAATCACAATTGTTTGATGTTTGAATCAACCATCAAATTGATAATCCTCAAAATTCATCAAAATTCCCCATTGTTTGATGCTTGAGCCGGTCAGACGTTCAACGAAAATCATGATGTATGGTGATTTGATAAACATGTTACGGGTTTGGTCGCCATGTTTGGTCGCTGAGTTCCAATTTGTGATGGTTAAATCTCCATCGCTTGCTGCTTACCCCGGCAATCGGCAATGGGTCGGTGGAAGGTGAGTTTCATGCGGCCCTTTCTGGTGGCTGCCTATTCAGGGGCCAAGCCAAGGCGTTGACGTCGAAGGGATTATATGGATCTGGGTAAATTATAACGACCTCACTGCGACCTCACTGGAATCATGGTTAATAAGGGAAATCATCCCCAAATGGCCTTAATTCAGGTTAGTGAATTATTATAATTTACCCAGATGGATTATGGGGATTATGAAAAGGCTCATAATTCACGTCAGCTCTAAATAGATTCATCCCGCTGGCCGTATGATTCTCCAGATAATTTTGAGGTGAATTATGATAATTCAGCCAAGATTGATTTAGTATGATCTAGTGGAAGATTCTCTTGGATTGTTAATTTAATTGGAAGATGTGGGAAGTGTAATTCAATGCTGTGATTTGGTGGAAGATCTGCAGAAAACGATTTGAATAGAATGGGGTTGTCTCAAACAAATGCAATTTCAATATAGGTAATCATTGCGAAATACAGATCGCCGAACAAATCAGGACTGGGAATTGTTATAGTTTGGCTTTGTCTCGAAATGTGAGGGCTGAGGGATACTGGATATTGATGGATATATTGGAACTCCGGATGCCCTATTCAGGCTGTACCGGGAAAATGATCATCAACCAATGGGATTTTAGTGTGACATTCGCATGTTCCCGGAATCCCCCAGTGATGACGACATGAGAATCGCCACGGATCCGAAGGGTACATCATGGTTCATCAAACATGTTATAACATGTTCAAAGCAACCTTTCCCCATCACATCAGGCCACCAGTGAAGGAAACGGTCACTGAAAACCGTGCTGCGCTCATCGCACTGGCCCTTTGGTGGTTGATTGGTGGACTGGAGAGCTTCAACCGTGTTGTTACCAAGGTGAAACGCTGAAAACAATGTTTGCACCCAGCAAATTTAGCATGGAACTTACACTTCGCCTTTTTCATCCTTTTTCGATGATATGAAAAAAATGTTAAAACAATTTGTTGTGGAGATGTTGCTCAGACGACACTAGAGGGGAAGGATTTGGGCAAGTTGAAGCGCCTCATTTCCCTGACAAATTTTCAGCTCTCACCCGCAGCGGGTGGTGAAATTGAGGTCAAGGAAGACTTTGAGGAGCTGCTGCTTGCGGTGAAACAAAAGGCCAGCACGTGAGGCTTCCATTTCGATCCTTATTGCGGAAATGATCTCACCATGATAGACTCATGATCCGCATTGCGGGGTCATCTCCAAAATTTGCCAAAGTCAAATGTGGTATAAAACCAACATAGATTCACCCACTGGTTGTTTGATGAAAAAGCGTAATCACCCCACATTGAATTTGGATGGGCCACCGGCCCGGAAGCGATTTTTCCCACTTCAATGTTTTTCAAGTGTCAATTGGCCATGAACCCCATCAATTCATATATATATATATAATTATATATGTAATTATATATATATTCTCATCAAACCTAAACGTCATCAAATCTCACCAGATCCCATGAGCCCCCCTATCCAATCCCCATCCAATGCCCATGACAGACCCATCTTCTCCCCGGTCCCCTCCGGTCCCAGGCGCGAGGCTCGCTGAAGCCCCGGAAGGCCTTCAGGACCATCGGACTGCCCGGCCGGGATCACATCGGCCTGAAAGAGATCCTTGGATGGGGACCTGGTGAACCTGGTGGACCTGGGTGCCGACCTGGATGTTGAAACAGACCGGAGGGCTGGATGGATGGAAGGGTGAAAAATATGGTGCTAAGATGCCATCAGCTGAAGATCGTTTAGAACAGTTTTTGCGTGGAAATGGAAATAATTAGAACAGTTTGACCCTGTAAATGGTCGACCATGTTGGGTGGAAATGAGTGTTGCAAAAAAAACATCATCTACAACAAAAACAATAACAGATATAACAGATGCGGGTTACTAAAATCGCGATACGGAGGGGTGATGTTTATTTGGCGATTAAAATGGCCATGGGCTACCGGTCAAGGTTTGGGTTCAGGTCATATCATGTCACATTCAGACATTCAGCATAGCAAGGCCATAGGCCCATACCCAACCTCGCCGAATGCCAACCATGCTTTTTACGAACATTGCCAATTTGATTGCCGGAAAATTTGGATGGGAAAAAGGCATAAAAAGGCCCATACCCAATGTTTGCGCCTTATAGATTTCCAAGGAGTGGTTTATGAAAAACCTACCGAAAGCAATAATCATGTTGGGCAAAACGCCATGGTGTCCTACAATGTTTGTCTTATATTTTTCCATCGAAAATGGTATCAGAGTGGTGATTCAGCTCCCAGTTATGCACCTATCTTGGACGATGGTCCTGAGGACCCGTGCCTTCTTTCGTTGCTTCAACATCGACGCGGTGCCGCGAAGAATTCCGCGGCTCTGGGAGTTTATTGTTGGGAAAAATACCTCAAATCTATCTAGGTCCTAGGTCTAGGTTGGTTCAAGGTACATAAGGGAGGACGCAACGGGGACGCTTTTGCAAGGTGAGGCCCCCAATAGCTAATTAAGTTAAATCATGGGGAATCCCATGAAATCCCATGAAAAATCATAGTAAGTTAAGTCCGTAAGTCCCATTAAATTATAGTAAGCCCCATCAATTTCCATTAAATCACAGTAAGTTCCATGAAATTCACATAGCATCAATTTTACCAGGTATCCCAACTCTGGATCCACTTCTGCCAGGATGAGGTGGATGCCTTTCACGAGGCTTTGGCCAAGCTCGGCGGCGGGGAGGTGACGCACCGGAACTTCAACGATGTCGCGCGGTTGCGGCTGGAGGGTTGGTGGAGGAAATCTCTCGATGAATTTGCTTTGTTTTTGGGGAGTAAAGGACATCAAATGTGAGGGGAATAATTATTACTACATCCATCATTTGATACATTTGATCATGGGGCTTCGGCCAAAGTGGTGATTGAACATGATTTAACCATCAATCATGGGAATTTTATTTCAGAAAGATGGTGGCAGAATGGGATGTCATGTGGGTATGAGATCACGGTATCCCTGTCGAAATGGCCTGTCGCGCAAGATGATGGGCCGAACTTGTCAGCTGGGTGAATTACAATACGAATCAATTGATCCAGCAGTCTTGTAGCAAACCCACAAAAAGATGCAGTATCTTTTGGGGGGAGGGGGCACTATCAAACTGTATGATGCAACAGATGGCAGCTAAACAAGCAATACATCGATTTCACAAACTTTATCCGGCAGTTATAGCCAGTTATAGCAATACTATTTATTATTGTTGTGTTTTATTTTGAATTGCCACTTGTTACTAGTCAACACATGAACACATGGGAGGTTTTTCCGCGTTCAGCATGATGTGGAATCCACAATGCCATTTTTAGATGTTTTTAGCATCTCAAGTACCAGGTGGTTATAAACCAAGCCAACTACGGACGTATCTACCATAAATCCTCGTCAACCTAGGCACAACCCACTTTGCACAAATTTTGGGGCACCGTTTTCAGATTGAAGTCAAATCCCTATGGTTGTTGGTTATATCATGTTATATCAATATCCCGTTATATACATATATTATAAATAATTTTGTATATATATACATATACGTGTATATGCATATAATTGCATTTAAATATATACATATTTATCTAATCTTGCATGCTATATCCCAGCATGCATCCCATTTGTGGCTCGACCGTGAGCTTTGACCATCAAGGTTATGGAAGATTGCTTCGTGCGAGAGCCAGACTATGGCACTTTCAGGTTGGGGGTCGGTTTGACCCAACTCAGCAGGTCCTCAGCAGTGGTCTACATATACTCGTACGTATATAGATACAAACACATATATAAATAGATAGATAGGTAGGTAGGCAGGTAGATAGATAGATGTGTTTTTTCCCCACCTGCCAGGTGAGGGTTGTTAGATTTTATCAGAGCTGTTCTCCTCCTCCGCCTCCTCACCCGCCGCCTCACCCGCCGCCTCCTCCTCGCAGTCCAGATCCCAGTGGGCACAGCCGGACCTCCACCGCGAGCTCCAGATCCCAGTGGGCACTGCCGGACCTCAACCGCGAGTTGCAGATCGCAGTGGGCACTCCCGGACCTCAACCGCGAGCTCCAGATCCCAGTGGGCACTGCCGGACCTCAACCGCGACTTCCAGGTCGCAGTGGGCACTGCCGGACCTCAACCGCGAGCTCCAGATCCCAGTGGGCACTGCCGGACCTCAACCGCGAGCTCCAGATCCCAGTGGGCACTGCCGGACCTCAACCGCGACTTCCAGATCGCAGTGGGCACTGCCGAACCTCAACCGCGACTTCCAGATCGCAGTGGGCACTGCCGGACCTCAACGGGAAGAATGTCAGAAAAGATGTCAGATAGAATGTCAGAAGATATGCCAGATAGAATGCCAGAAAGAATGTCAGAAAGAATGTCAGAATATATGCCAGACAGAATGTCAGAAGATATGCCAGAAAGAATGTCAGAAGATATGTCAGATAGAATGTCAGAATATATGCCAGATAGAATGCCAGAAAAAATGTCAGAAGATATGCCAGATAGAATGTCAGATAGAATGCCAGAAGACATGCCAGATAGAATGCCAGAAGATTTGCCAGATAGAATGCCAGAAGATATGCCAGATAGAATGCCAGAAAGAATGTCAGAAGATATGTCAGATAGAATGTCAGAAGATATGCAAGATAGAATGTCAGATAGAATGCCAGAAGATTTGCCAGTAAGAAAATGTATAAATGTCATGGTGGGGATCATTCGAAGTGAAGCAATTTAATATGTAATTATGTGTTTTCTGCACAAAAATATATCTATATATATATATATAGACGCATACACATATGCATCTATTTGCTGATGATGTGCAATTGTACGCTGTACATGGTGCTTGTTCAAGGCTTTGCCAGCCATATATATTCTGGTTTGATACGCTATTCGTAGCCAAAGGTAGATATTTCTAGGGTAGATGTACCATCTGGTAGCCAAACGTGGCTTGCTGGAAAATCACCCATTTATAAGTGATTTTGCCAGCTAGAATCCTCCATTGATAGAGGATTTTCCAGGCAGCCACTTTTATTTACCAAAGGGCAAATCTCATCAATTCCAATCATTAACAATTAACAACCATATACAATCATTATAATTTTCATTACTAATGATCAGTAATTAAACAACCATTAATCAACCATTATTAACCATGAATAAACATCATAAATCACTAAGAACCATTCATGACCATTATATGAATTAAACAACCCGTATTAACCATCATTAGCCCTGAATCATCACGAACCCCGTGTCATCCGTCGATGTTCCGCCAGGATTCCGCAGAAGAAGCAGCTCCCCCGACCTCCTCCAACCTTGGATGATCCGGCCGGGCCGGATGATGAGGACGGCGCGTCCCTTGGAGCCATAAACATGCCGGGAGTTGTCAAAAGAACAAGTGGAATTAACATGAGTTACCATCTGGTTATGACTAACATAGCCATGGAAAATCCCTTATCTATAAATGGGAGTTTCTAGCTGAGAAAATCATCTATTTCGATTAGGGCCATCGAAAAACCATGGCAAACTGTTAGTCATAACCACGTTGGGTAATCCCAAAAAAACATGTCGATTTCTGGTCCATTTCTGGTGATTTCAGCAATTTCGTGGGGATCAACTGAACGATTTCCTGCAGGATCAATCCGGGTGGATGGGAAACAAGGCTTTGCCCTGCCCCGCGGCCCATGTAGCTGATTATATACCGGAGGGTAACTGGGATTGGACTATTCCAATGTTTTTCTTTAATATACCAAGTGACCACTATACCAAGAGATGAGGAAAATACAAGTTAATTAGGCTATAATATGCTATAATTAGGAATTAAAATTAACACGTACAGTTGGGCCTCAGTTGGGTTTGAGCTCAATAAACAAGGATGGAGTGGAAACCATTCAGCAGTGGGATAAGGCATGAGTAAGGAATACTGTGCGTTTTATTTGGGGAAAATTTGGTGACATATTAGTTCATATGGCTCAATTTCTTGATGAATTGATTTGCAACCATGTCGGATCCCAATGAAGGCTGTAAGTTATATATTATATAGGATGATTCAAAGTTGCTCTGGTGAGCATATGTTAATGAACATTCAACCAAGACCTGCCAAAGGAGACCAAGCCCTTATAATCCTGGTTGTTGACGCTTAATACACTTATATAATTAATCCCCAGGATTATTGGATAATATGGCGTACAGTATCAAATGGTTCGTACACCCTTGCTATTTCAATCGTTTGGCCAAAGCATCGAGGTCAATTTCAGCCAGTCCCATTCTGAGGTTTCAGATGAGCAGCTCGCGTTTGCCCGAGGAGACATTGTTCAGTTTCCGCAAAGACGTGGAAACCAAGTTGTGCTTTGGCGGGAAACGAGGTCCAACGGTTTTACTTTTTGAGGGAGGTAGAAACTGAGGATAGGATGTGTTATGGATGGTTATATTTTGGATGGTTATAATCTGGATGGTTACGATATGTGTATATATGTGATCTTACCATCCGCATTTGCATTGATTTGAATATAGTATAAATAATATTAAATAATACATATATATATATATTAATGTTGTAGTCCTTATTATTATCTATTATTGTTATCAATAGTTTTAATGTGTTTGATTATGTTTCAAGTATGTCGATATAGATATATATATATATACATGTAAATCCGCAGAATGTTGGTGTGCTTTTGCGAAAAGGTCGAAATTACAATTGCTTTTTTTTTTCCCAATGGAACCTTTCAAGCTCATCCAAATTCCACAACAGTGGTCCCAGAACTCACTGTGTATGAATGGTGTATCATTCATTAAAGGTCCTAGGCTAATCCATCAGAAAAGTCTTTTTGGCTACTCTCCAGAGAAAATAATTACAACCCCCAACACTAAGATATATTTGAGAATACCCATCCATAGCGATAGATGGTGGTTAATAACCGGGAAACTCATCAAGTATTTTTCTTTGGGTGCCGACCCGGCTGGGCCACAAGCAATTCAGGTTGAAAGAGATCAGAGAGGTCATGAGAGCGCCCTGGTGCCAGATGTTTTGTGGGATAATGGGCCAGCCACTAGCATGGCATTTGGATAAATCTAGGCTTGGTAGGTGTTTGGGGTTATTTTGTCTCTGTCCGGCATAAAAACTGGAGGACACTATGGCTAACACCTTGCGGTGTGGAATGATGGAATGTATAAATCTCTATAAGTCTGTTAATAAGTTTATGATGTTCGTTTGCTATCAAGTTCATATGAATTTACATGAATTTACATGCCTAGTGCCCCTAGTGCTTAAGAACGAAGAGACTCTTTGGGATCATCAGAGATCAGAGGGGATCTTCGGGGTTGATATGCTTGGGATGTCCCCTTTGTTGGATCATTCCGTTGCGGACCTTCCCGTTGTCATAGGGGTTTCACCCCAAAAAGGGAGTAGCATGTGTTTGATGATTTACTTTTGACAGACGGCAATTTCCCATAGCAAACGTTAAACAACAACCATAGGGTAAATACTTATTTATGATGTTGATATATTTATTTATGTTCATTTTTGGTTGAATTTGTTGCTTGCCTTCTTATTTCAGTTGATGATATCTCCATCTTTGTCAACAAACCTGATCATTTTACGAACGATTTCCAAGATTTTACATCTCAACTGGACCCTCCAAGGACATAGGCTACAAGGTGCGCATGAGCTACAAACGTCCACGCGACGCCCTGCGTGGGTTGGATTTGGAGAAGGACTGGCATTGAGTGGGTCGTGCCCTGCACATTCGGGGAAACTCATAGGGTGTCAAGGGGCACTACCTGCTTGTGATTTACTGCAATGGTATCTATTATGAATTCCTGTATAATGGGATTTATTTTTTGGTTATTTAAGATAGTTAACGGAAAATGGCCCATAGAAATTGATGATTAAACAAATGATTTACCTATTAAACATTGTGATTTTCGATAGCTACGTTGAATAATCAGAGGAGAAAACGTATATCACATACAGTATTATATATATATGTATTATATATATATATTATGTGTTATATATATATATATATGTATTTTTTATATACATGGATTTGCAGCGCACATGAAAACATGTATGTACATAGATGTAGATATGTATATATATATATACGTATTAATATATCATATATACATATGACTCACATGATTCTACTCTTATTCTATGGCTGGGTAAATATGTTGCCCGTTCTAAAGGGTATAGTTTCACCCAAAGCTAGATGCATCATTACATATCCACTGTAAATCGTAAACCGCGATGTATCATAATTTTAAATTCATAATATATCCCATAGGATCCATGGTGCTGGTATATATATATATATATGCTAACATGACTGGGGTATATTGATGGGATCCATGGCACACCATATATAGCACCATGGATCCTATGGGTATAACCACCATAAATCCAAAGATTCCATAAATTCATCCGCCGTTTCGTGACGCCCTGCGTGAAACCCGTGCGTCGTTTCGGAGCGGCGCCAGGACGGCGTCATCCGGCGCGAAGAGATGCGGGACTTCTTCAGGGGATTCAATAAGAAGCTCGGCAGGAGACTGGTAGATGTTAGGTGAACTATTGGGTGAATGATGGTTAAGTATAGGGAATTTAATAGGATTTCATGTGATTTGATGGGATTTCAAGGGGATTTCATGTGATTTAATGGGATTTCAAGGGGATATATGATGGGATATATGATGATTACCCTCTGGTAAACTAACAGTTTGCTATTGAAAATGGCCATGGAAATAGTGGATTTGCCCATTGAAAATAGTGATTTTCCATAGCTATGTTAGTTTACCAGAGCGTAACTATAGATTATAGGTGAACTAATGGTGAACCCATGTTGACTATTGTGAATTCGATGGTTTCTGATAGATGAATGTGGATGATGGTATACTATGGTTTATTCATAGCCTAAGTATGGTTAACTATATGGTTGATGGGCGTTATAAAGCAACTTATCACTGGGCAACACCTTGCGGATGGCTAGTCCCCATGTTAATGATGGAAGGGATCATCTCAATCTGTTGCTATATTTAAATGGGTCTGGATGTAGACATGATGCAACTTTGCAAGGTATCCAGGGCACTCACTGAGTTGGTTTGCAGGGAAACTCTGCAGAAGACAATGGATTTGAGGGAAGTTCAACATCCAACTAGATCCCAAATTCAAGGCTTTCCCAGAGGAGTTTCCCACAAACCAAATGGAATCCTCGTGTTTTCCCTACATTTCCAACTATTTATTCTTCCTCTGGTGATCTCCAAGCCATTTTTTGCCGCCAAGCTTGGTCCGCCAGCCTATAGATCTGCCAGGGGTTTCGTTTTGTATTTCATATTGGGGAATGAGATTATGCCAGTGTCCAATCCATCCATGAGGTTGCTATGAGGGATGAGCCCACCTTTTGCCTCTACCGATTTCTCTACCTTTTGTTGGCGAAGATAGCCCTTTTCCAAAGGATGGAGCCACATATTCTGCGTGGATGAGAGGTCCAGTTTTTATCGGTCCAGTCCTGTTACGTTCTTATCCTTGGATCAACCCCTTGAAGTTCGTGGGGTGTACCCTATGAATTTGTATCTCCAATGTCAGTTTACGGGTAATTGTCACTTATGTTCACAGCTTGATATGCAAGCCAAGGCCCATTTACAGATGCTTTACCTATTCAAAATCATGATTCCCAATAGTAATGTTGCATGAACTGGGGGTATACAAACTTCACCAACATGCATCCACCAAGGTCTGAAAGTTTCGCGGACCGCGTTTTCGACTTGTTGGACCCGGAGGGTTCGGGCAAGGCGGGGCGATGTCTTTTTGGATGGCCCTTTCTATGTCCTTATTGGTATACCACTATTTAGGATGAGATATATGTTTATATGTACACCACTATTTGGGATTATTTTAGACCATCTATTTTTCTATGGGGATTATTTTATACCATCTATTACTGTACTCTATTTTTTTCTATGATCCTTTGGATCTATTTGGGATGCCATGTCTTACGACCCAAAAAATGCGCCACATGGTGAAAGTTCATGGGATGGAAATCATGGGGGAAGTTCATGGGAGATCCCATGCCACAATCGAATATTTTGTTCGAAAAAACAAACCCAAAGAAACATTCGAACAAAAACATTTGAAAGAACATTCAATAAAGTCAAGATCCCCAAAAGGGGCTGCAGATGTTAATATCCGACATTTTTTGGCAGATGTTCTCCCAATAGTGGGTCTCAACCACCAGCACTTCAACCCGGAACGGAGGTGGACTTTGCGGAATTTCTGGCGCACTTCGATGAGGTCTTGACCCCTGCACACCGGCAAGTGGAGCGAGCAACTTGGTGGTTTGTTCCCGGGAGGTTATGGAGGCCATGGCCCATGTTGATCACTGGTTGGTGGTTTAGATCATTTTTTATTTTTCCATATCTTGGGAATTTCATCATCCCAAACTGACTTTCATATTTTTCAGAGGGGTAGGGCTCAACCACCAAGCAGATCATGTTAAACTGATGAGTTACCTGTTAAAACGGATGACTTCCTGCGAAATGACTGCAGGGTTCCTGTCATGTTGGTCCACAATGAAATCTTTGGACCGGCCGGGGGTTTGAGGCGCCAGTGATTGGCTTACAGGACCTCGAAAGGCGTGGAAGTTCATGGCTGGAGAAAGGACTGGTTTACTGACGAAAATTATGGTTAATCCATAGTTTATCAAACTTCATTCACTGGTAAACCCAATGGAACTAATAATGATTAGTACCTAGGTTTACTATAATGATGGATATTCATGGATATTCCATGATTTTGATTAATAATTGTGATAAAACCAGTCCCAATATCACTATAAATGGGTGGTAACCATCATCCTATATCATTATATCATCCTGAAATGGTAGGTTTGTGGCATTGGGTTTACCACATCATGGCCACCATGGTGGTCCTTCCCAGCTGCTAGAAGTTAAGCCAACTTCGCAGGGGAGCTGGGAGCCCGACAGCTAGAGATCTTAGAGCCGAAATGTCAATCAAACCTGGGCATGTTCCATGAGATTTTGATCAAGGGCAAACATCAGCCTCCACCTTTGGAAAGCTAGTTGCAGAGTTTTGTTTTTGTGAGAGACCAGTTACACCGAAACATGTCGAAAGAGCCATTCCAATCCCATGGTGCACAGGTGGATGTGACATGACGTGACCATGAACCAGATTTCGCATGTTTTACTTGACAGTTAGAGATAGAAACCAGAAGATTTCGATCCAACTCACTATTTCCAATAGGTAGATCATCTATTTCTATACGTAAATCATCTCTATTTCTATGGATCAAATCCTCTCTTTCTATGGGCCATCTAGACCTAGACCATAGCTATCTTAGTTGGAGGCCAGATTCGTCGCATCCGGCAGGTCGCGGAAGGTGGCCACGGTGGTGAATGCCATCGGGCATCGGATGCTCACGAAATACAAGTGCCTTGGGAGTCAGGGACGTGGCGAACCTAGGAATGTGAGGAGAATTCAGCAATGGCGACAACCTAGGAATCAGATGAAATGAGATGAAATAAGTAGACGTAGAAGCTGGCAATGATGAAATCTGTTTAAGTCTTGGACCATTTCAAATCATGTCAGGTCCACAGGTGGTATCAACCTGATAATTTGGATGATAAATGACAAATAAGAAAATGCGGATTTAGAGAGATGATGGGATGAATTATAAAACTTAAAACACAGATATCGTTGATAGATGTTGATAGCATTGATAGCATGGTGATCTTGAGTACTTCTGATCCATCTGTAACGTTTGGGCCACTCACTTTCGACCCAAACTTCGGTCAGGGTGAAACATGCAACCAAAGTGAACGTATGATTGGGATTGCTAGCCACTGGGTAAGCTGCTGAGTGCCTGGGTTTTCATGTTTCTTATATACATGGTTACATTTTTACGGAAACCCAGGCGCAAAGGGAAAACAATCAACACCTGACGTTTTGAAGGTTATTCAAGATTATTCAAGATTATTCAAGAAAACAATCAACACCTTCAAGATTATGCTTTGGGTTTTCATCTCCAAGGTTGTCCATCTATGGATCTGGTTTTCGTTGCACGGGCTTGGACATGTTTGGAGGGATTTCCCAATGCGTCCAGAAGTGGGGTGGCAGATGTTCCACTGAGACTCGCTCAACAAAGGCGTCAGGGATGGTTCAAAAACCAGTCAAACAGCATTCAACAGGGCATGGTTTCACTTTTTCCATCGTTTTCCCATCGGTTTCACCTTTCCTTTAAGGTGTTCTAATGGTGTTCCAATGCAATGGTGTTCCATGGCGTGTTCCTTGGTCGGTGCTGTTCCAGGAACGCGCGGCAAGCCTTCCGAGATCTGGACCTTGATAAAGACGGCAAAGTGAGTCGGTGGGGGGCACCAGTTGGGGTTGCGAATGGATGGAACTAACTAGACAACCTCCATGTTTTGAAGTATAGATTGGGATATAACCCCCAAATAAACTTGTAACCTCCTCTAACTCTATAAGTCTATAACTATGGAGTTAGAGAAATCCACTAACTGGAACTGCAGACCCAGGTGGTCAATCATGCGGCTGGGTTGATATACGCTATTCATTTGTGTCCAAGTTACATGGGCTGAAAACTGGCTTAAAACCATCGCCTGCAAACCCCAGAAAGACGCCCGGTTGGAAACCTGGAAATGGTTGTGAAGACATCATCGACCTACCATCCTGGAAATACACGGAGGTCCGGTCTGATATGATTTTATCTTGTTGGGGCTTGCTGGTACTAAATGTTCATTCACTGATGGTGCCTAATTAAGAAAATATTTCCTGCATTTAAGATGCCTTTTCCAAAGGAAGTGGAGGAACATGTTGGAACCACCCCGCAAGGCAAGAGCTGCGATTTTTCGTGAAGAAACTTGGCGAAGACTGCGGCCATCTGCGGCCCATCCGCCCCCATTTCACTGACTAAAAGGTGGTTCCTGATGGGCGGTGTTTATATAATATTATATAGGCCACCCCTAGACACATTTTGTGGGATTGGATCTATTCATGACTTCGGGTTCTCTGAGTATGAAGTGGACCTACCTCTACCAAAAACTCAAAATAACCAAGCCTCCAACCCGCTGGGGTCATGTTCCCCATTTTAATAGCCGTCTCTTGGCGGTTCTTAACCCAATCAGATTCTAATCCCAATCAGATTATTTCCACCATGTTTCTTGGTCACATATAATATGATGAAATCCATAAAACCCATTGAAATCCACAGTTTGTCTGCTACATGTCCAATGACTGTCAGAACAAACCCACCAACATCAGCCCAACTGTATATTTCTAATGGCAAACATCTGCAAGAATCAAACTTTAGGTTGGAAGTCGTACGTTTTCCAACGAAGTCGCGAAAGCGCTGCTTAGGAAGATGGGCTTGCCCTTGGAGACCGCAGACGTGCTGTTTGAGGCATTGTCCCCCACGGATTTCGGAGGCAACGAGCTGGGACACCGGGCGTCATAGGTCGGGGATGGTGAAAATCCCGAAATCTCAGGGGCTGAGGTTGGAAAGATTTGAGTGCGAGCCGTTACAGCGCAGATAGTTGACATATTTGAGAATGTTTGAGATGTTTTTTTGGGCCACTTGCAGCAATTACAGGTGGCATTCTTTGTATTTTACTCAGCTACCAAGGCAGATAACCTCAGCTATGGTGAAGCACAACCTACAAATGGATAGAAATGGTCGTCAGTCCCATCATGATCTCTATAGGCTCAAACCAGGAATTGTAGATTTCAGGGCCCAGGGGTCCCAGATTTCGGGGATGTAATCCCTTCCCCCCTTACATTAATATTACTTATATAATACTCCTAGCCTAGGGCCTAGGAACCCCTGCTTTGGTGATCCAATCATTTTGGAGAATCAATGGTCGAGGCATTGATTTTGCCATTCCCGTCACATGAGTAGATTCTCCTGCCACATTATGTACCCTCTGGCAATTTAACATAATGGGATATCACCATTCTTAATAGGTAAATCATCATGTTTATCATCTATAAATGGGCCATCTATACCATAGCTATGTAACAAATAACCAGTATAGGCCCTTATTTCTTCAAGGCGCCTTCGGCTGAACAAAACTGGAGCCGCAGTCTCCGCATGTTCAACTCGTGCCAGGGCTCATTGAGCAAGAGACCTTCGTGAGTTTGTTCCTGGATTTGCGAGGCCGGGGGAGACAAGGCGATCTCAGCCTCCAGTTGGCCGAGATCGCCCAAAAGACATCATGGGAGCATCGAAAATGACCAAACTGTGATGGGGAAAGAAGGAAAAATAGGGAAAAAGGCACAAAAAGACATGGAAATAACTAACGAGTAAGAACAGCTGCAATGCATATTACATTTGGACACACGCACATGGTACAAATTATAGAGTAACTATAGCCTATAGATGCCTATAGCATATAGTTTCTGTGACTGCCACCTTTCCCAGGCGATTTGTCGAGCCACAGCCGCACCACGCTGAAATTGCCCAAGATCCCATGAGGTTCGCTGCGTGAAGGGTTGCTTTTGAGCTCTTCATATATGGCCAGCTTGGCTTACCATGTGTTCTTTTCGGGGGTTATGATGTTTTATGTGGCTTCATTTTACTTTTGGTTATTTTAAGTGGTTTATGATGTGGCTTCATATTACTTGGCCCCGGCCAAAAAAAGGTTTCATTGCCTGACAGAAGATCATTAAAAAAAACGCATGAGCACGTGGATTCGTGGATGATTAAGTTCCACTAGTCTTCAAACCTCTCATGCTCAAGCCATACGTGTGACCACCCGCGGGAGGCTCTTGCCATCCTGTTATGCCCAGTTGGAGGTGGTTTCCCAGAGTTTTCTTCACGGCATATGACTTACAGGACTTGCATGACACGGTACTTGTCACTGACAGAATTATCTGAAATCAAACAATATTTACATAATTATGATGGATAATGATGATGGATAATGATGACATAATTATTATGTCACTGATTGGCATCAAACAATAATTATGATGGATAATGATGCCAATCAAACATTACATTGACATACATTGACCCGTTTCTCTCAGGCAACGGGGTTGGCACATGAAACAGTGTGCTAGCCGTTGCCTTAAACGCAGCAGCACGCCCAAGGCGTGCCATAGTTTTTCCGAGGTGTCAAAGTTGAGCTCAGGTCAGCAATGACCAGGTCATGGTGGTGAAATCTAAGGGAAAATCTGGATCAAACAGGTGGATCATGGAGCACTTTTGGATCCTCGGAAAGGCTAAAAATATTGACCTGAGTTTTGGTTGTGTCAGCGAGATTTTTCGATGGCAGCTCCACAAGTATCTACCGCGATGATTCCTGAAGTTGGCATGAGTGACTAGTGAATTCATGATTAGCATATGGATTCTTGTCCACTAGTCTAATTTGCTCACACTTCAGTGAAGTTGAATGATTTGTATACTGTAACTAGCTAGATTTGGTCATGCACCAAAATCTATTGTTTACCAGTTTACCATCCATGAATCCTGACTTCAGGGGAATCCCGGTGTTTAACCCTCCTGACATTTTGCTGATGGTTGATCTGGTCCCAAAGACGGACTGGAACAGGCGGTAAGGCCCGGCAAAACAGATCCATGGGTTGCAAACTGATACCATGCAAACATGCATGGCAATGAAAGCCATGACATGTTCAAACAGTTAAAAAATAGACCACCTAATACACAAAGGAATAGCCATGGGGTATATTCCGGCACGTCATGTTTTAGTACTCGAGGGTTTTTATGCACTGGTGCTTGGTTGGATTTAAGCGTTGGTTGAAACCACCGGCGGCAGACAATGGAAGTGAACATTCCAGAAACTGCTTAAAGGGAAAGTATCCAGGAACTCCCTTTATATTTTTTATTCATATATATATATATGTGTGTGTGTATATAATGGTGAGAGACGGGAGAGAATAAAGACATATGTAGAAGAACAAGGGTTTCCAGAGCCAGTCCATCAACACAACTATTCTCACCGCAGGTTGGCATTTCTTCATCAAGATCGCAAGTTTTGGGGTATACTAACAATTGAAAGAAAGGCCCAATTGTCCATAGCCATTTTAAGTTGGAGGTGCCTACCATGTTTCAAATATTTCAGCCCTATGATTTAAGGCTTTCTGTTCCGTTCTGGTCCCGTGCCTGCACTCCCGTAGCAAGCACGGCGGCACATAAGCTCTCAAATGGTCTATGCAGTGAGACATTTGAAGGCGCAAAAATAAACAAGTTAAACACTGCAAATACAAGGCAAAGCCAAGCAGGCTATATAGGCAAAAGAAAATGTTGGGGTGTTAATGAGGGTTAACAGAACAACGCCGTCGCTTCGGGCGGGCTTTATATAGGTACTAACGTACCTGCATTTTAGGATCCTGAAATTCCCATTCAAATTGGCTTATCTCCATATCTTCATGGTTTATACCAACCATTTATTCTTAATTTGGGGACGCGGAAAGCTCTTGCTTTCCGAACATTCAAAACTGCAAAAGCGCTCCAGGATTTGTACCAGCGAGTTGCCAGACGCTCAGAGTTCAGGGATTCTCTGTGGCCTGCGGAAAGCTTGGGTAGCCAATGGTCCTTTAATGGTTAGACTCATGAGTTCATCAAGTCATTTAATTGCCATTCATTATGGTTTAACCATGAACTATAACTATCAACTAATTCAATGTTAATTAACCAACGATTCCAACGATATTGACTGGCATTTAACCAATCAGTTTGACCAGTGTATATATATATATATAATTTTAAAAATTATCTATATATATATATATATGTGTGTTTTTCATATATATATATATGCGATTAACTGATTGATATTACAATGGTTAGTTAAGTATGCACTAATGGTTTGTTAATTACCATTACTGTGGATCTTCTGTGATCTTATAGTATAATTTGGGCCATGAATGGTGGTATATCCCACAAAAGATGTAGAGTTCACCGCCTGGATTTAGGTGGGAATAACACCTGAAGATCCCGAAGCCTTGAACATTCTTGTGGTTGCACAGATTAAGTATCATGAGGCATCATGCGGCCATATCACTGGCTTCTTGCACCCTTCTTCTGGTGGTTCTAATCAGATCCTAAAAAGTCAGATTCATTTTCCACCCCATCATCATCATCATCATCATCACCATCATCACCATCACCATCACCATCATCATCATCATCATCATCATCACCATCACCATCACCATCACCATCACCATCACCATCATCATCATCATCATCATCATCACCATCACCATCACCATCATGATCACCATCATGATCATGATCATGATCATCATCATCATCATCATCATCATCATCATCATCACCATCACCATCACCATCACCATCACCATCACCATCATCATCATCATCACCATCACCATCACCATCACCATCAACATCATCATCATCATCATCACCATCACCATCATCATCATCATCATCATCATCACCATCACCATCATCACCATCACCATCATCATCATCATCACCATCATCATCATCATCATCATGTTTGGCCCTCAGATGAGGATCCCCACTTCGCCAAGGATGCAGCTTCTGGGGAACAGAAAAAGAAGTTGTCGTGACCTCAAGGGGCCAGCAGCGCAGTCACGAATCGGGACCCGCCCAATATGCAACCGAAAAAGAACACAACAAGAAATGATGTACTCAACAGAATCAACAGAACACGTGAAAATCCTTAATTCAGTCTGTGTTTTTTTTTTAAGGGCTTAGATGATGTCCCATCCCCCAAGTTTTTTTTGGTTCAGAGGGGATAGATTCACAATCCTTCGGCCACAGGTTTGCCATCACAGCGCGCCTGGGGCCACAGGAGGCGCTGCGACATCCATCCGGGTTCCCTGAAATCATGGTACAGAAAGCCATGGTGAGTAAATGTGATCCCCCCATTTTAAGAAACCCCCATATGCATAGATTAATATCAATAGGATAGTCTTAGATGGAGAGAGAGAGAGAGAGAGAGAGAGATATATATATAGAGATAGAGTCTGAGATTGGGATGTCAACTGGAATGTAAACTCAACATGAATCCACTAACTCTAGCTTAGTTTGGCTGGAATCTATATCACAATGTCACAATTAGTTTAACACATGTAACATGTACTTAGTTACAGCATAGTTATAGCTGGTACCGCTATTATAAGCTGGTTGCAATCAGTTACACCTCAACGGGCTATGGCAATCCAGTGGAGATTCCCAGGAACTATGGATTGTTTTAATTCCCACTTCTCAATGGATTGGTTTCAGGGAAAAAAATACAGGAAACATCCATATTTCATAGGAAAACCATGGAAAATCTATGGTTTCCTCTAAATTTTCCCTTAAGGCAATCCACTGAAATTCCTATATTTCATTGGGAAAATTCCCACGGTTTCCGGTGGAAGATCGGAACCGACTCCAGGTGTTGCTGGAACCATCTCGCGAACGCTTCCTGGAGGCTGGGGGAAGTTCAATGGAGGGACATTGGAATCTAATGAAGCCATTCATGATGCTGTGATTTGTTTATGGATATATCATGTTATATCAGTTTGACTCGATATGTAGACGCTTCAGATCAAACTATGAAATTATGTGATGCTATGGTTGTATATTATATACATATATATATATTAATCATAGTAAAAAAACATTAAAAAAAACACTTGAGATCCAACCATGCAGTTATGCCGTAAAGTCATCACTGTGAATAAACCATTCATGATGCGATGGTGAAAGCATCACCAAGACGAGGTGTTCCATGAGACCTACAAGGACTTGACAGGCCAAGTGGTTGGTGGAGAGGAACATGGAAGGGTCCAACTGCAGAAAAGGTCCAGTGATATAAAGGTTTTACAATAGGTGTATAATAGGTGTATATATATATAATTATATTAAACCAAGACAAACCAACTTACCCTTCGGCTGAGATGTAAGTATGTTAGACCTAAAAAAAATAACATTCACCTAGTAAGGGTATATCATTGGCTCTGGAAACACCATTTAATCTTCCAGAAGGGTACAAAAAGGGCAGCTGTGTTCCTGGTGTGCTGAGAAATTGTCCAGATAATGTATCATTCCAACGATGTTCATGTCTTACCCCCAATAATTACCGAGTTTTCATTAAAAAAAACATTTTGGCTGAACATTATTGGAATGATACATTATCTGGAATGATACATCATGTGAATTAGACATCATTTAATCTAATGTTCATGTCCACTTACCAAAGGTTCGCGAAGAAGTGGATTCCCTGCTGAGGTGTAGCTGACGCTCTTCCGCCCGTTCTTGCTGTGTCTCGTCGGGAAGTCATTGCTGAAGAAGTCATTGTTCTTTGCCATGCCTTCAAGGGCAGAGACCAGTATAGCAACCCCAAAGTATAGACAGGAAATTGGGAAAACCGGAAATATGTATGAAATATCATCAAAAAAAACTAAAACCTCTTGGAAATGGGATTTCGATCTTCTTGGAGATAGCTGTACATTTTTTCTTTCTCTCGTGTACAGGTTCTTATCTCAGTTCCGGCTGATTATATCCCCACAATTGATGGTTGCAGATCATATAATTAGTCCCTATAATTAGTTTTAATTGGTTATATATATAGAGGTTATCTAGGAGGTTATATATTCACCCATGCTATATTTCCATCCCCATTGGTAATCATGCATTCGTTTACACATTTGTTCAAGTGGATACAGAAAATCATGTTTCTCAATGAAAAGCATTAATTATGGTAACCATGTTTTTCAATGAATAATTCAAGTGGTTACATTTACAGTGGTAAATGAATTGTGATTTTCAATGCTACATGATTCATTCAAGGATCTGCCCTTATAGATACACGATGTGACTCTAGTTCGAGGCCACCTTTTCAACCCAATTTCTCCTGGTGA